GATAGTTACAAAAACACACTATCAGCCTGGGCCATGTTTCACAGGTCTAGGAGAACGGGCATTGTTTCCCCTCCTTGTTTATCCCCAGGATGAAGAAAGGAGAGGAGGATAGGTGGTTTCAGGTGTACATATAACACCTGGTTTCAATTCCTCAGGTATAACGAATCTGCCTCTTAGGATTTTTCTGTCTTCGCTTGAGAAATCCTGGGTAGTCAGGCATGAGGAGGTGGTGTTGCATCACAGCAGCCGCGTGTTCAGGAATCAAGGATAACCTGTGCTAAAGGCTAGCTGGTTACATACAGACCGCTGTAAAGCCCTAGGTAGTTAAGTGAAGTGAAATGTACAAATGGAACACAATCATATCTTTATATAATTTCTAGCACCTCCTGCCTGAAGTGTCTGTACCTCAGTTTACCCTCATCACTAGACAAATTTGTTTTCCTCAGGGCTGCATATTTTAAGGCTATTGCTGCCATCTCCTGGAAGAATTTGAAATAGCAAGAAATTGGCTTAGGGGAGTTGGATGTGGTACTTTTGTGGGTTAAGAAGCCACGTGCGAGGCCCGTGCTGTGGTGTAGCCGGTAAGACCACTGCCTGCAATGCTGGCATCCATATGGGCACCAGTTCACATCTTGGCTGCTCCAGTTCTGGTCCAGCTCTCTGCTATGGCCTGGGAAAGCAGTGGAAGATGGCCCAAGTGCTTGGGCCCCTGCACCTGCATGGGAGACCTGGAAGAAGCTTCTGGCTCCTTACTTCGCAATGGTGAGGCTTGGGCTGTTGTGACTACTGGGGAGTGAACCAGCAGATAGAGACCTCTCTCCCTCTTTGCTTCTGCCTCTCTGTAACTCTGCCATTTCAAATGGATAAATAAATCTTAAAAAAAAAAAAAAAGAAAGAAAGAAAGAAAAGAAATCACATGCAATGCTGTTATCCCATATTGGAGCACTGGTTCAAGTCCTGGCTACTTTGCTTCCCATCTAGCTTCCTGCTATTTGCCTGGAGAGGCAAGGGATGATGGCCCAAGTACCTGGGCTCCTGCCACTCGTTTGGGAGACCCGGATGGAGTTTCTGGTTCCTGGTCCAGTCCTGGCTGTTGCAGCCATTTGGGGTGTGAACCAGCAGATGAAAGATCTCTGTATCTCTCCCTCTCTTTCTATAGCTCTGCTGTTCACATAACTCTTTTAAAAAATTCATAAATAAATCTTAAAAAAGTGGGGGGGGGGCAGCGCTGTGGCACAGCAGGTTAACGCCCTGGCTTGAAGCGCTGGCATTCCATGTGGGCACTGGTTCAGGACCTGGTTGCTTCACTTCCAGTCCAGCTCTCTGCTATGGCCTGGAAAAGCAGTAGAAGATGGCCCAAGTCCTTGTGCCCCTGCACCCATGTGGGAGACCTGGAGGAAGTTCCTGGCTCCTGGCTCCTGGGTTGGCTCAGCTCCAGCTGTTGTGGCCAACTGGGGAGTGAACCATCAGATGGAAAACCTTTCTCTCTCTCTGCCTCTCCTCTTTGTGTAACTCTGACTTTCAGATAGATAAATCTTTATATAAAAAAGATCTCTCCCTCTCTGTAACTCTTTCAATAAATAAAATAAATCTTAAGAAAAAATTCTTCAGGATTGAGAAGGGGCCTTTGGCAGGAGCAGACACTTTTAAGTGAGGTGGTTGTGTTGGTCTCATCTTGCAAAGGCCCACTTGGGCTTATTTTGGGCACTCCTTCTACCTCTCCAGTTTTTCAGGAGAGACTTCTGAAATCATTTCTGAGAAACGGAGGTAATTTTCTCTTTTGCAAGTCCAGTACTTATTTTATTATTAATGATCTTCATCATCTGATGTCAAATCTAAGTAAAAGCTGATCAAAAGGTTGGCAACCTCAGCATTAGACTCGACGCTTTCCAGGAATCTCTGCCTTGCTCTGGAGTTTGCTTCAGACGAATGAATATTGCCTGGTGAGGTAGAGGGGCTCAGCGGGGAGCTCTTCACATGAAGAGTGAACCCCACTGACAGAGGCCAGGCCTGAGCACTAGGTCACAGCTTCTCTCTGCTCTGACCCAGCTCTGGGCTTGCTGTTAGAAAACAAAGTCAAATGCAGATGCTGTTGTTGGAATACATTCCCTGGTTGCTGTATTGCACATTCTTGCCCCTGTGTGAAATAAGAATTCAAAGTAGAAGCAAGGGTCAAGTTCAAGAATAACAGCTGAATTTATGTTAAAAGAGTGAGTGCATTGGAAACTCATAACTGGTGCATAGGGAGATTACTGATGCCATAAACAGGAGTGTCAATTGGTAAAGTCAACAACAGGAGTCACTGTGCACTTACTCCTCATGTAGGATCTCGGTCCTTAACGTGCTGTACACTGAGGCTTAATGCTATAACGAGTACTCAAACAGTATATTTCACTTTGTGTTTCTATGGGGGTGCAAACGACTGAAATCTTTACTTAATGTACACTAAACTGATCTTTTGTAAAAAAAAAAAAAAAAAAAAGAAAGAAATTTTCAATTCCCAACTTGACTCTCACTGGGATTAAACATGACAATAGGTCTGATCTGATTTCATCATCATTTTAAAAAAATCATCTATTATTTTTCACTTTATGTTTCTGTGTGGGAGCAAACTGTTGAAATACTTACTTAAGGTATACTAAGCTGATCTTCTGTATATTAAGATAATCGAAAATGAATCTTGATGTGAATGGAAGGGGAGAGGGAGTGGGAAAGGGGAGGGTTGTTGGTGGGAGGGACGGTATGGGGGGGGAAGCCATTGTAACCCATGAGTCGTACTTTGGAAATTTATATTCATTAAATAAAAGATAAAAAAAAAAAAAAAAAAAAAAAAAAAGAGTGAGTGCATGTTCAGATGCCGGCGACCCCATGAGGAGAGACATCAACCATAAGAATCTGCCTTTGTGAGCAAAAGGTAGAAAGAGCCATGTGCCTGTGAGGAGAGAGAGCCCCCAATGGAGCAGATGCTTTCTTTGTATAGGGAGTGGTGCCCTAATTGCATGTACAAATGGAGTGGGACTCAGTACATGTGATATTCTCTGGGAAGGATTTCATGTTGGAACTCAATGTACAGTTGCTCATCATCTCTTCTTCATGTGGATAGGTGTGTCATGAGAAAGTGGCTGTATTGAATTACCATGCAAGGAGGGGGGGGTGGAGTTAGGGTGCAGGGCTAGAGACATAAAGTGTGGAAAACCTCCCAGCTCTGTGGCTCCTTACCTGATCCCATGCCTATCTCCTATCAATATCAACTCTACCTTTCCACTATTTCAAGTCCCAATCCTTTTTCTCTGTTTTATTTCAACTTAGCATTTATCATTATATGACACAGTATTCTGCAAGTTTTGCTTATTTTCTATGTTGACTTATTTTTTTTTTTTTTGCCTCTTTTGTTCTTTATGCCATCTGCAGTGCTTAGAACAGTGCCTGACATCTCACAGGCATTCAAAAATTACCTCTGCAATGACAAGTCCTCTGCTCATCACCTTGTTTGGCTATAGGGTACATACCTTTCTTTCCTTGGAGTTTGATGAGCTTGATGTTTTCGCTTTCGCTTTCCTTGAGGACTTTGAGCAGAAAGCTGAAAGCCCCGAAAATGGATGTGTTCATGCCTCTGAGCAGGCACTCACCTTGTGCCCGGCCTATCTGATCTAATCAGAGAGCAAGTAAACGTGAAGACTCACTGGGGAGAGTTCAAAAGCAGACAACCAGAGAGAAACTAAAGCCAAGCGGTCCTGGTAAGAAACATAGGCTTGTCAAACCCTGGACTAAATATAGAGCACAACGTGTAATTTATGTATCTGTGAAACATTGCATAATATCTTTTACAGCTACAATTTATCAAATGCCCTCTGTGGTCCCAGTATTTTATTGTAAATCTCATCACACACTGCGTGGCTTTTTGTTAACAATATCCTTATTTTATATGAGAAAACAAAGGTTCAAGGAGTTAAACTTACAACTGCTTGTACCATGATTGTGCGTCCTCTCTGAATAGAAAGTATTGACCTTGTTCTGTCCCTGCAGAAATAGTGACTTAAAACACATACCTGTGTTTTTGGTTACTTTCTACGGCAACTAGATAAGCCTCAATTGCCTCATCTGTAAAATGAGGTAACAATTGTCCTTTTTTTTTTTTTTTCTTTTCTTTTTGGACAGGCAGAGTGGACAGAGAGAGAGAGAGAGACAGAGAGAAAAGTCTTCCTTTCCCATTGGTTCACCCTCCAATGGCCGCCGCGGCCCGCGCGCTGCGGCTGGCGCACCGCGCTGATCCGATGGCAGGAGCCAGGAGCCAGGTGCTTCTCCTGGTCTCCCATGGGGTGCAGGGCCCAAGCACCTGGGCCATCCTCCACTGCACTCCCGGGCCACAGCAGAGAGCTGGCCTGGAAGAGGAGCAACCGGGACAGAATCCGGCGCCCGGACCGGGACTAGAACCCAGTGTGCCCGCGCTGCAAGGCGAAGGATTAGCCTATTGAGCTGCGGCGCCGGCAACAGTTGTTCTTAATTCACAGCTGTCCTTAATTCACAGACTCAAGAATTAAATGGCACGCAACGTGCTTAGCACAGCGTCACAACCTTCAAGAACTAAGTGTGAATTGTGCTGGAGACAGTCCGGAAAAGCAGACAGCTGCAACCTTGAGTTTTCGTGCCTTTCCTGGTCTCCCCTCCCGACGTCCTGCCTGCCATCCCGACACAAGCTCAGAATTAGAAGCTCCACCTCAATCAGTGGACTTCTTTCTGTCCAGCTTGTTCTTGCACTCGGTTACCGAGCGGCCTTCTTCATTCCCCAATATAATTCCGGTTTTGTTAACTGCTCGTCTACCCCTCTTTCCCGTTCCCAGAGCCGGCAAGCAGGTAGGTTTTCTCCTAGGACCGTGACCGTATCCGCGGCGTGGCATTCTGGGAGCTGTAGTCCAAATCCTCCCATCTGCTTCTAGAGAGCGACTGAGCCGAGAGGCGGGAACTACGAATCCCAGCGTCCTCCGCGCATCCGGTGCCGCACTGCTACCGCGGGCTGCGAGAGCCGGAAGATGGCCGCGCCCTGTGCTCGGTACCCGCAGTGAGGCAGTCTTTTGGTACAAAGAAGCGCGGAATGTCACTCTTCGGAGCTCAGGTGCTCGGGCACATGTCGTGAGGCCGGAGCAGCTAGGGCCAGGTATTCCGAGGACGCAGTAATTCTGTAAACCTGAGGTGAAAACCGAGGTGCCAGGTGCTTTTGAGCCCAGCCTTTGCCTCACAAATGGCCCCTTCCTTTTCGTTCTGCAGGAATTGACCCAGGGGAGGGTGGTGGGTCAGGATATGAGGACTCCCCTTTTCTCTCAGGCCGCCTCGGGACATCCTGGAGCCTTTGGAAAGGTGGGTTACTCTGGCGTCTGAAGAGACAGCCCCCGAGCCCAGGCAGGCTATGAAGAGCGACTCTTCGGCCTCTGCAGCCCCCCTCAAAGGACTCGGGGGGCTCCTGCGGAGCAGCGAGCCCGTGCGCTCCGGCCCGGCCTGTTCTCTCGCCGTGGATCTGCTGGAGGAGGCAGCAGACTTCCTAGTGGTGCACCTGGACTTCCGGGCGGCGCTGGCGACCTGCGAACGCGCGTGGCTGAGCCTGGCCAGCGAAGGTCTGGCTGAGGAGCCCGCCGGCACGTACGTGCTATGTTCCGTCCGTTTCCGGGCCGTTTTGTGGAGGGACTCAATAGGTCGCGGCATAGCTTTCCTTTCCAGATTGCTCACGAGGAGCCTCATAGCTCGCTTTCGTGAGTGGCTGCTTTCAGAGCACCTGGGTATTTATATTGTGTCCATTCTATAGAGGAGGAAACTGAGGCACTGCACAATGAAGAAGCGATCAGGCGTGTTACAGTTTAGTGGGAACCCACGGCCAGTTCTTGGCGCCTCCTTGCAGTGTAGACTGGCGTGATAGAAAGGTTGAATGAGTGTTAACGTCTGTCAGTGAACAGGTTGCAGAGCCTCCCAGCTGCCCCTTTCGCTAGGCTCTGAGGTTGTTCGCTCTTGACCTTGGCTGATGAAGGGGAATGGGGGTCAGGGAAGGAGTAGGGTTATGGTCCTGTTGAATGATTGGATTAAATAATGAATCTGGAGAAAGCCTTGGTACTGCATTGCTCCTCCTAATACCTCCATCCTTCCTTGGCAGTTCAGGGCGCCATTTCTCATGGGTTTTAATGGTGCATTAGGCCATACCAGGGAGGTGATGGGTAGAATAGTAAAAGCTGACCCCAAAGAATGAACTAGAGGCCTGGCTGTGTTTTTAGGTGGCGATTGGGTGCTTATGCAGTAAATGCAAAAGGCTTTGCTTCGGGGTGTCTGGAGGCAATACTAAAAGGCCAATTTTAGAGTTCCTGTACCTACACTTAGCCAGAAATCTTGTTCGAAACTCTTATTCACTAAACATTTGGCTCCACCTTTTTCTTTAAAATTTTTTTTAAAATTGTAATATAGTATACATACCAAGAAATGCACATAAGTGTACAGATGAGATTTTGTCTTCTGAGCATACTCATATCCAACATTTAAACAAAAAACAAAGTATTACTAATACCCTGAGAGTCCTCACTATCCCCCCCAACATTTCTCCTTTTTTAAATGTGGAAAGCAGGAGTATATTGTTATTTACTTGTGCTCCACCTCCTTACATCCACACACCTGTGCTCAAGTTCTCCCCCCACCTCCCAGCCCCTCTTATCCTTCCCATTCATTTATTCCTGATTTTACCTGGATACCAGGATATGTATTTGCCGACAGCTGATTTACCCCAAAGTTTACAGGAACTTTAAGCTCCCAGGCGAAAGGGCAGCCCATGAGACTGAATGTGGGGCCCAGTAGAATACTGATGGGGAAGATAGAGGTTGATAACTGCTGAGGTAGGAAGTAGAGAAGAGCAGTCCCAGGGTGGAGGCGGGCATGGAAATGGAGTGGAATCCCTTCTAAACCAAATGGGTCTTTCTGCTGACAGCTCCTTGGAGGTGAAATGCTCCCTGTGTGTTGTGGGGATCCAGGCGCTGGCAGAAATGGACCGGTGGCAGGAAGTCCTCTCCTGGGTCCTTCAGTACTACAAGGTCCCTGAAAAGCTACCTCCCAAAGTCCTGGAGCTGTGGTATGTTCTTCTTGCTTGTATAGTCTCAGTCCTGAAGATTTCATGTCCTCTCCTGAATTAGGCTCTAGTATCTCCTTTTTCCCCTTCCCTACCACTTTCTTACAAATCTAATCATTTCTCCTCTTCCCCCCACCCCCTTTTTTCAGACCCCAAAAGGGATGAGGGAGGAGGAGTTTAGGAGTAGGGTAGAGAACAGGGGACACAGGATGGGAGAGAAGTGGGAGGAAAGAAATGGACAAAGCTGAGAACCTGCCTGCTACTTTCTAGGAATTCCTGCTAATTTTTTAAAATTATTTTATTTATTTGAAAGGCAGACCGAGAAAGAGAGTTACGCAGAGATATCTCCAATCTGCACTTCCCAAATGCTCACAGGAGCTTGAATTGGGCATGGCCAAAGCTAGAAGCTGGGAATTCAATCTAGCTTTCCCACGAGGATGGCAAGGATTCAAGTATTTGAGCCCTTACCTTCCACCTTCCAGGGTGTGCATTAGTTGGAATCAGGAGCAGAGGTGGGATTTGAACCCAGGTTCTCTGATAGAGGATACAAGTATCCCAAAGTGGTGTCTTAACCACTGTGCAGAACATACCTGCCCGCCCAATTCTAGTAGTGCCGGCATTCTGTAGGAAAGGGCTGGAGGACATGGAGAGATTGGGTAGGATCAGCATAATAGTTACGAGAAATGAAGCAACTGTGGAGAACTGACTTTTCTTTGTTGGGGGTGGATTGGATTATTTGGGGTTGCAGCATTCTGTTATACAGCAAGATGAAAGAGCCTGGAGCCATGCTGGATGTGGTCAGTGCCTGGCTCCAAGACCCTGGTAATCAGGACCTTCCAGAATATGGAGCCTTGGCAGAACTTCACCTGCAGCGGGTGCTGCTGCCTCTGGGCCACTTGTTGGAGGCTGAGGAGCTAGTGACTGGTTCTATAGCCTTTGATGAGGAGCAGCGGCTGGGTGGACTCCACGCCATTCATTCAGCGAGGCTGCGGCAGACACAGGAACACTCAGGCTCTCAGCAGACCCAGGAGCTAAACCAGGAAGGTAGGACATTATTCCTGTGTGTTGTCTTTAAAGTGGAGTTGTGGGCTCTGTCTGCGCCTGTGTCCAACATGGCTCTCCTGGGAGCTCGGGAGCAATTCTTTGTATGAATAATTTCTGAATCACAGGAAAAGACCTTACAGACCCTCTGAAGTTGGCAATGGAAGGAGTATCTTCATATGGGGAGATATTGCTGGGTCTTTTTTTTTTTTTTTAATATTTATTTATTTCTTTGAAAGGCAGAGTTACAGAGAGGCATAGAGAGAGAGATAGAGAAAGGTCTTCCATTGTTTCACTCCCCAGTTGGCAGCAATGGCTGGAGCTGTGTCGATCAGAGCCAGGAGCCCAGGAGCTTCCTCTGGTTTCCCCATGAGGGTGCAGGGGCCCAAGGGCTTGGGTCATCCTCTACTGCTTTCTCAGGCCATAGCAGAGAGCTGGATCAGAAATGGAGCAGCCAGACTTGAATCAAACTGGTGCCCATATGGGATGCAAGCACTGCAGACTGGGGCTTTAATCCGCTGCACGACAGTGCTGCGCCCTGGGTCTTATTTTTCAGAAGTCACATTCTCATTGGGGTTTGATCAGTTACCTTTCTAGAGTCCTCTCTTTAGACTTTACTAGCTTTCTTGCTTCCATGATGCTGGCCTCTTCCTTTAAATGCTGGCCCAAATGCACATAGGGGTGACACGCTTGGGAGTAGCCAAAGGAAAGATAAGAAACAGATAAAATAATTTGGTTTCTTGACATAGGAGATAAGAATTAATTTATCTTTAACTTTGGGTCCTCCTGCCCAATATCCTGCCTGCCTTCACATACAAGAGCTTTTGAGGGGTTTCTCGTGGTTGATGTCCAACCCTTAACATTCAAGTTTTACACAATGGCTTTTGTAGGGAAACCACTACGTAGACCTGATACTAACTGCCTAGCTAGTATTATATAAGGCGTCCTTAAACTAGTAGAAGTGAGGATTCTTTTGTTACCAGGGTTAGGGACTTTAAAGATCCTCCACCTAGACGGCCCAAGTACTTGGGCCCTGCACCCCATGGGAGACCAGGATAAGTACCTGACTCCTGCCATCGGATCGGTATGGTGCGCCGGCTGCAGCATGCTGGCCGCGGCGGCCATTGGAGGGTGAACCAACGGCAAAGGAAGACCTTTCTCTCTGTCTCTCTCTCTCACTGTCCACTCTGCCTGTCAAAAAAAAAAAAAAAATATTCCACCTAGACCCTTCCCCTGGTCCTTGAGTCCTTTTAGCTATTTTCCTTGAGTGCTTATTAGCCTGTGTGACTTCCAAGGGCAGAAAATTCACTTTCCTGCGTCAGTGGACAGTTTTGTGGGGAGTTCCTATGCTGAGTTGAAGTTTTTCTTGGAGTTTTTGCTCACTGATCACTGTTGTGTTTTTTTTTTTTTTTTTTTAACCTCTTGGTAGCCTATAATAACTTCTTTCATTTAAAAAATATGAAAACTCTTAGCTTAATTAGGAGACTAACCCTGTTTTCTGAAATATTTTTTCTCTTAAAATTTTTTTCTTTTAAACTTGTCATTTTATTTATTGTTTATTTGAAAGGCAGAACAGCCTTGTGAGAGGGACAAAGGCAGAGACAGACATAGCTAGATGTAGACATAGACCTTGCATCCATTGGCTCACTTCCCAAATGTCTGCAATAGCTAAGGCTGGGCAAGGCTGAAGCGAGGAGCCTGGGACTCCATCCTGCTCTCCCACAAGGGTGGGTGGCAGGGACCCACGTACTTGAATCATCACCTGCTGCCTCCTAGGGTGCACGTTAGCAGAAAGCTGGAATTAGGAGTGGAGCTGGGACTTGAACTCAGGCACTCCTGATGGGATGATAATGAGATGTTGGCATCTCAAGAGGTGTCTCTGTCTCTCTACCTGTCAAATAAAATGCACATACAGATGGTAACTATAACTATACTTTGAACGTGGAGTGGGGTCTTAAACCTAGGCTGTTTGATAGAGAACATGGAAATCTCAACCACTGAACCAAATGTTCACCCCCAAAGTATTTTGCTTTGTGTGCTGAAGAGGTGAACTTGCTGAGATAACATCACTGCTATGCAGGGAGGTTGTGGGCTTCAAGGCTGACCAGTGACTGCCTCTACTGCACCTCTTGGGGAGGAGGGGATGGGATGCCAAAATGCCAGGTTTGCCCAGCTGAGTAGCAGTTGTCTAAGTCCTCTCCCAAAGTGGTGGTAGTGTAGAGTTGTAGACTATCCTGGAAACATTTTTTTGAGTTTCCTTAGAACCACTTTATGACTTATGCAAGAAAATCATTGTCATTACCTTTTGTTCAGCTTTTACAGTAAAGCTCAAAGCTCAGAATCAGGGAAGCTGATTCTCCTGACTTACTCTGAAGTTTTGCTTTGTCCCCTGACCAGGCTCTCTCTCCCACAAGTTCCAGTCACTACTGATGTTGCTTCACCAGCTTTGGGACTCTGCAGTGAGTTACTTCTTTTGCCTGCCCTTCAAAAAGAGCCTCCTGGTTGCCTTGATCCTCTGTCTCTTGGTGGTGAGGTTTGATCCAGGTGAGTGATGGAGCTTGTCTCCCCTCCCACCCTTCCTGGGGAGGGATGCTTGATGGGCTGGGCGAATGGGTGCAGGTGCTTGCCAGCATTCCCTTCCAGGAGCCACATCCCTCCCTGAGTTTCTACAAGGAGGAATTGCTGGATCTAAGCAAGAGTCAGTTCCCCTGAAACAGAGAGCAGTCTGGACGATATCCACCCTGCCCTAATGGCCTTGAGCACTGGATAAGTCATTTAAACGTCTGATTTCTCTAGGGGGAACTCTGACTAGAACCTCAGAGTTAAAATAGAAATATTACTCATAATGATGCTTAGAAAAGTTGTTGGTTCAGTCAAATATTAATATCCAATTAAGTGTTAATTCAAGGGGCAGGCATTGTGACACGATGGGATAAAGCTGCAGCTTGGGACAGTTGCATCTCACTATCTGCCTGGGATCTGGGTCCACCTTTGTGGGTCGAGTCCTGCCTCTGATTCTGATCCAGTTTCCTGCTAATGTGCATCCTGGGAGGCAGCAGGTGGTAGCTCAGATACTTCCGTTCTTGCTAGCCACATGAGAAACCTTGATGGAGTTCCTGGCTCCTGGTTTCCACCTGGCCCAGCCCCAGCTATTGTAATTTGGGAAGTGAACCAGAGGATGGAAGATCTCTCTCCTGTTCTGTCTCTTATTCTCTCCACCTTTAAAATACATTTTTAAAAAATACTTACTTACAAAAACACAAGTATTAATTCAAAACATATTAAATTGTAAATAAAGTACTCTTACATTTTAGAAAATGTGGACAATATAGAAAAGTATAAAAAAGAAAACCGAAATCACTAACAAGTCTGCTGCTGTGATGGTTATACTTTCCGTCTTTTTCGATGGCTATAGATAGTATTGACAGTTTTGCACATCATAAGTACTCTTTCAAGCATGGCTTTATATAGCTAAGTAATATTCCAGTTTAAAAAAAACTTCAATAAGTGACTCAGTAGCCTCTGTTGTTAAATATTTTGATTGTTGCTGTCATTTCTGCTTCTCTGTGAAGTAGAGATGAGTTCCATAAGTGATATTTGGGAATAACCTTTGCTATTCCTGAGGATTAAGCCCTCAGCAGTGTGGGCACTGGGCCAAGGTTAACTACTCACTCTTTTAGATATTTTTGTGTGTGACTCTTTGAAAGTTATGACCTTATCTCTGTTCTTACCATGGATTTAGACATAGAATGGGATTATACAACTTTCAAAATTGAAGGAAGAACTAGACATCCGTATTCTAGTTCCTTCATTTTCTTTCTTTTTTGGTTGAGAAACTTAAGAACTAGAGAGGTAAAATGACTAGGCCAGTGTCACACGATTGTCACATTTTAAAACTGTCAGTTCTTAGTCTTTAGATCTTCTCCACTTCTCCCTCTCTCATTCAACTAACTTTTTTTTTTAAACATAGGTGAGAATTGTCCTCTTAACCATTTTGTTGTTGAACACATTAAATAGGAATTTCCTCTGAATCTTTCTGTTTTACAAAAAAGTCACTAGTTAGCTCTCAGAAATGCTAAGGGCAGTTTGTTTTCATTCTGGTTCACCCTCGGATTTCCTACTTTGTTCCAGAAACTTGATAAATACTTAGAAATTCTTTATGGTTTCTCTCAGCCTTTTAGTCTCATAAACTCTGATTTTTAGGATGGGGCAGCATGAAGCCATTTGAGCTTGCTGCTTTCGAGGCTGCTCAGAGCTTCTTCGGAAGTGCCCTGGACCAGTGGTCCCGAATTCCAGTTGCAAGCTTGACTCCATGCACTGTGATACTGTGGGAGAGAGAAACCTGCCAGTGGCTGTGATTAGAACCTGGTGGAAAGCATAGCACAAGGGTGGGCTGTCAGTAGCTTTCTAAAAAATAGTATTTGTTTCTTATTTAAGAAAGAAATATAAATTCCCTTTTAATAAAAAATCAGAAGTTCAACTAAGGAAAACAAACCAACCCAGTACATTTTACTTTATTTTTAATATAATTAAGTATGACAAAATTAGGTAATACTGTCAAATGGCATCAACTTTAAAAGGTATAAGAAAACACAAAATGTAGTGAAAAGTCACTCCCAAAATTCATCTCCTTGGAGACAGCTACTGATGCTTTTCTTTTTTATCACAAGCTAGATTATAATATTATAATTTGAACCTTTTTCTCAGTAAGTTTAAGATTATTGTAATTCAAGTGAAGAAAATATATCCCAGCAGAAAGTGAAATTATTTAAAAGAGAAAGTGAAATTATTTAATTTATTTGAAAGATGGAGAAAAAACTCAGAGAGAGAGAGTGATCTATCATCCCCTGATTTACTCCCCAAATGCCTGTAACAACTGGGGCTGGGACAGTCTGAAGCTGGGAACCAGGAATTCAGTCCTGATCTCGCGTGTGGGTGGCAGGAACCTAACTACTTGAGCCATCACTTGCTGCCTCCCATGGCTTGCATTAGCAGGAAGCTGGAATCAAGTGGAGCCTGGGCTCCACTCAGGTACTCTGACGTGGGATGCAGATGTCTTAACTGCTAGCCCAAATGCCTGTCCATGAAATTCTTCGTTATTGAGGAAGATACAAATAACATTGGCACCAAAATAGGCTTTAAAATAGTCATGCATAATCCCAAGGTGGGATGGGGGATGGGCTGGGGCAGAGGAGGGAAAACGGGGGAGAATTCACAGCAGTCTTCCCTTTTCCCTGCAGCTTCTCCTTCTTCCCTGCCCTTCCTCTACAAGCTGGCTCAGTTCTTCCATTGGATCCGGAAGGCCAGGTTTTCTCGCCTCTACCAGCTTCCCATCCATGACTGACTGGTCTTCCCCATTGACCTTCACCCCTCTGTTCCACATCTGCCACAACCAAAGCAGAGTTAGCAGTCCTCGATGGCCTGTTCCCTGTTGCCAGCTGAGTACCACCTAATTCTAGAAAAAGCTGAGCTACAGGTGACTGTCTTGGTGTCTGAGAGCCCTCCCTTTTGTACCCCACCCTGGCTGGCCTTGGTCCTGACCACTGGGAACAGAGGGAACACAACTCCTCAGGAATAGCATCTCCTGTGACCCAAAAGCCCTTCATAAAGGAGGTGTTTGGGAACAGGAAGAGTGCCCATGAAACAGTCCATCCTGGCAAAGGCAGGGTGCTATTCAGAGCGTTAATGGGGCTGGAAGTTCAGAAAAACCCTAATGGAATGACCTTAGTTTTTTTTTTTTTTTTACTTCCTAGAAAAACTTATTGTTGAAATTGCTCCACTGGGCAGAATCTTATAATCCAGAGTGAGATCTGAGAGACCCTCTTTCTTCTCTCCTATGTTCCTGTCCACAGATAGGGCATAATTGTGTATCAGTACACAGTTCGATGTTCCTGCAGTAGGTTTGAAGCTGCTTGAGCCCTCTTACTGTTCTGACAGGGCACGACTTTTAGAGTCACCCAGGTGACTATTAAAAGCAAAGTGAGCCTGCTCAGTGCTTATCACTGGGTAAAGTGATCTTGCTTGGTCCCTTTTGGTCTTCATCTTGGTTTTCCAGATTGTTAGTGGCCATTACACTCGGTGTCTCTGCGCACTCTTTCCCTATTGTCAGCCCCTTCCTTCTCCCCTGTGAACTTTGTCCCATGACTGTTTCACCAGGTTCTGCCTGTATCCTTGCTTCCATGGTACACACCATGGCAGGTTCCCCCTTTCTATGTCCTGTTATACTAGTTATGCTCTATTATTTGTATAATGTCCAAGTTTTTCTGCTCATGTGGCCTTGAAAAGTAGGCCAGCCCTGAGAATGATGAGCTGAAAATGGAACTGGGTAATCAGGTGATCTTGAAGGCATGGGTGGAGTTGGGCAGAGAAGGCTCATGGGTTTTAAAAGCAGTGAGCAACAAAACCTTAAGGGAGGAGGCATGAGAGCTTTAGCACTTGAGGAGTTGAAATGGTTAGTGTTTTTCTCACAGAATCTTACATGTTTCTGTGTAAGTAAATGCAGAGCACTGCTGTGCTGTCAGGATGGGAAAAGGCTTCCAGCAGGGCCAGGCCTTTCCGTAGTTGAAGGCCAACCAAGTTCCCCCATGCCGGGACCCTAGTCAGTGTTGATGCCAAAAATATAGGAGGTGTTTACTAGCTTTTCTGAAAAGTTGGTTGATTTTCTGGATTTGTAAGCCAACAGATTTTCTTTAGAAAAAGTAAAGTCCACAGACCCTTAGGATTAAATATAAATCCCTGGGGTGTGGCCCACTCTGTAAGAAACAAGTTTATACTTTTTTATGTGGGCTTATAAATAGAGTTTAGAAGACTGTGGGAGAGAAAGGGAGCTGAGTAAGGTTTGAGATCCCTCTTTTGCAAGGCATCTTAAAATGAAAATCTGGTCTCTTTCACTACCCTAGTTAAAACTCTAATGGCGTCCCATGCCCATTCAGCTTCTTCATGGAATTTAAGGTCCCTGCCACTGGTTTTGGCTAACAGCTACTATTGGATGTGAGACCTCTGTTCCTATATACACCACCTGCTGGCTTCCTACCCAGTCAGTTTTCTGAGCATGTAGTAACATGCTCCCTCAGGCCTCTGTACCTTTAGCTCATGCTATTCCTTCCTGCTGGTATTCCCAGAACTTGTTATTTGCCTGGGTAGCTCCTTAGCCTTCCAGACTTACTCAAGGATTACCTCTTGGGAATACTTTCTGGACCTCCTTGCTTCTAGGCCCCTATTTCTTACCTTTCTGCGGTAGTGACCTTCTGATCATGGAATCCTTTGTTGCTTCCAGTAACTGAACTCCTTGAGGCTAAGGAGTGTGGCTTGTGGTAGTATTTGGGAGTCAGGCTCAGGTCTCTGCTCTACCTCCTGTGTGAGTGTTGGAAAATGATTTAACCTTTTTCAGCCTCAGGTTCTCATCTGTTCATTCTTCTCATAGGGATTTCTGGATGAGAAAATGAGATGTATTTGTGAAGTGCTTAGAATCTTACCCTGACGCAAATAAGAGTTCCTGAGAGTGACTGCTGTCACCAATACCAGCTATATCCCAGTGCCTGCTGAATGCTTGGAGTTAGGAGGTGCTCAGAGGTATTTAAAAGGATAGATTGATAGAACTGACATGACAAGAAGTCTGTGTGCTTTTGGTGAGCTGATGGGGTTTGTGCTGTGAAAACCCTGCTTGTAAAGAAGACTTGATTATGCCCACCTCATTTTTTACCCTCCCATGAACGTTGTCAGCCATTGTTCTGCTTGCAGGCTTTAGGCTCTAGGTCTTTTGTTTGTCCTGAGCTTTGCAGCACTGTTTGGTAACCAGCCCCAGCTCCCTACTTAGTCAGGTAAAGAACTTAGAACCAAAACTGCTCCTATGACTTTGATGTTTTCTAAGGCTGTGGGCTGGTACTCATATCAGTCTTCAACTCTGAGCTTAATGAAGTCAAAAGTGAAGAGATGAATTCCTTGTTAAACTTAAACCTGCACTGTCCAATCAAGTGGCCATTAGCTAAATGTTGCTTTGCAGCATTTGAAATGTGGCAAGTCCATATTGAGATGTTCTATAATTATAAAATACTGTAATTATACTGCTTTTCAAAGATCTAGTACTGAAAAAAAATGGAAACTCAATAATTTTTTATAATGATTGCATGTTGAAATGGTAATATTTTGGATATATTGGGTTAAATAAAATCAATTAAAAATAATTTCTGTTTCTTTTGACTTTTTCTTAGTGATGATGCTAGAGTGTTTAGAATTACATATATGGTTCACATTGTATTTCTATTGGACAGTGCTGTTCAAAACATATAACACACATCAGCAAGTTCAGGGGGGTGGGACAATCAGCATGCATGGTGGGATTTAGATGGAGGTTAGACCTGGAAAGATTCTCTATTGCAGATAATATATTAAATCTCTTTATTTTTCAGTTAAGGAGATTGAGACCTGGAGGGGTAAGGTGATTTGCTCAAGTCACACAACCTGAAAAAGACTGAGGTTTTTTGATCTTCAGGTCTAGTGTTCCTTTCACTACACCAGGATTTTGCCTTACTTGTCCTAAAAACTCTTAATTCCTGTCACTCCCTGGCTGAAGTTCACTATTAATATGTAGCTATATCCAGGAGGGGTAACTTTAGCTGGAGTTAGTTGATTGGTTCTGTAGGGTTCTGAAAGAAGGAAACATAGAACAATATTTTTTAAAAATCTTTAAAAATTTATTTGAAAGTCAGCTATGGAGAGAGGGAAAGAGAGAGAGAGAGAGAGAGAGAGAGATTCCATTTGCTGGTTCATTACCCAAATGACTGCAGTAGCTGGGGCTGGGCCAAGCTGAAGCCAGGAGCCAGAAACTTTATCCAGTCTTTCAGTGTGGGTCCCAGGGGCCCACACAATTCGGCCATCCTCTGCTGTTTGTCCCAGGCTGTTAGCAGGGATCTGAATTGGAAGTGGAGCATCTGGAACATGAGCCTGTGCCCATATAGGATGCTGACATCAGAGGTGGTAGCTTTACCCACTACATCCCAATACTGGCCCTAGAACAGGTATTTTTAAATTTATGGGTGTTAAGGAGAGCAGAAATGGGTATTACTCTTGCTCTGGTCATATGGGAGGCTGGAGGGAAGAGGTGAAGTAGAGAGGAAAAATTAGGCTGCTATAGGTGATTACAAGGGTGTAGGTGAGCGGGCAACAGAACAGACAGTGCCTGGGGGAAGACTTAGGATTCTGCTTCTGGAAAGGTCAAAGAGTACATTGCAAAAAGTGCCCACCTCGAAGTTTCATGGAGATGATCCTATTCTTTTGCATGTATGTATTCCTGTGTATATGTAGACTTAAAATATTAAGAGTTTTATGTATATCATAAGGAATTCAACAGTTCAACAGTTACAAAAGAGTGTTCATGGAAAGAAAAGTCTGTGTTTTGCCCCATTTGCCATCCCCCATTTTCCTGTCCAGAGGTAGCTACTATTGTAAGACTGTTTGTCTTTCCAGAAATATTCTCTGATGTTAAGTTTTTCTTTCTCTTACACAAATGATAGTATTGTACTACATCTTTCATGCACACTGAGCTATACTTTTCTTAATGAATTTGGAATATTTGTCCATACCAGTATTATCTAGAGCTGCCTCATTTGTAACAACTGTGTGTTACTCCAATGTCTGGCCAGATCACAGAGTATATACCTTTTCCTTTTTATTTATTTGTTTTTAAAATTTTATTTAAGGTATAATTTTTTTTTTTTTTTTTTTTTGACAGGCAGAGTGGACAGTGAGAGAGAGAGACAGAGAGAAAGGTCTTCCTTTGCCGTTGGTTCACCCTCCAATGGCCGCCGCGGCCAGCGTGCTGCGGCCGGCGCACCGCGCTGCTCTGATGGCAGGAGCCAGGAGCCAGGTGCTTTTCCTGGTCTCCCATGGGGTGCAGGGCCCAAGCACTTGGGCCATCCTCCACTGCACTCCCGGACCACAGCAGAGAGCTGGCCTGGAAGAGGGGCAACCGGGACAGAATCCAGCGCCCCGACTGGTACTAGATCCCGGTGCGCCGGCGCCGCAAGGTGGAGGATTAGCCTATTGAGCTGCGGTGCCAGCCTCTCTTTTCATTTTCTACCTAACCCTTATTACTACTTGAAATCATTTTGTTGATTTATCTATTTGATTATTGTTTGTATACTCTCTCAAGAGTGTAATGGACATGAGGACAGAGTCCTTGGTTTGTTCACTCCTATACATTTTAAGGATGTAGAACAGTGTGCCTGGCATGTAACAGTTGCTCTACAAATAATTGTGGAATGAATGAAGTGTAATGAACTGAAATGATCCTTAGGCAAGTTCTTCTGAAAGTAAATCATTCACCACCCCCACAGCCTTTGACAAACCAGACCCCAAAGATTCTATAAGGTGCAACTCAGCTACCCTTTGTTCTTCCCCTAAATAGCACTGGACTGTAGCAGTGATAGGGAGCATGAGTTATGTAGTCACCATCACTCAATAGACTTTCCATGAGAGGTAGGCTGGAGTGCAAGTTGGAATAAAGGTTTTCAAGAAGCCAAGATGCCCTCGTACGTATGCAAGCACAGGTTTGGGGCCGGAAGGGAGCACTTCACTTCTAACGTAATTGAAA